AGGGTTAGGCCTACCCTGTAATTAAGGAACGCTCGACCTCGACACGTGATATCGAAATGGGCGAAATCGCCTCTTGATATTACTAACTCTCTTGACTCTTGAACTGAACATGAAGAGGACCAAAATCGTGTTTAACATAACCGCCATAGAGGAGGAAATGAAAGTCGGACGAGAATATGGAGAGGTGGGTCAATACATGAACTTCACGACCGTGACTCAAGGACCCTCCACGAGAAGATGAAGAAGCACCCATTTGTTCAAACAAGGAAGTAGAGGTACGTAGTTCATCAAAATTATAAGGGAGATAGCGTCATTGCATGTACACATACGAGTATATCAGCATCATATCCTCAACCTTATATTCACAACATCTGTCCCTATTAAGTTTTTGAAGAACTTCACATATGGCTTTGCTGGAGAGACGAAAATACATTAAAGAGAACATGCCAAAATTAAAGACATGATAATGAAGATGATATGAATACACTCTTTGATACACTTGCGTAGAGAAAGCGGAGTCGCGCTTGCCTAAGGTGGACCGGGGAAAATCACAGAACGGCACTCAACTGGAGTCGAAAGAAAGAGATGAGACTGCAACTGCTGAACGACTAGAACTAGAGCAGCTCCAGACATGTGTTTGAATCTGGAAGAGGCCTTCATCCGGCAGCGAACTGACAGCAATCACGGTGGACTACCATTGAACCTACCATTGAACGAATGCTTGGAACTCGATTGGGCTCGGCCTTGTTTGCTCTTCAGTCGCATGCCGGTACTCATGCTGTGGAGAGTGAGGACGTTGGAAAAAGCCCACGGGCCGATCGTGACATCCATAACGTTCGACTACGCTTACATTTTAACGAAGAAACTGTTATGCATAGAATTAAAATGTCGTTAGACGTGGATGACCGCCTGGGACGTTATGGTTTCATCTCACCTGATGTGAAGACAAATTCATTTCTTAATGCGCTGCTCCGTTGTACGGATCTTGAGCACAACACCCCGTCATAATGAAAATCTTTCGAGCGAGACGATTGTATAGCTACGGTTGAATGCATTTGTTTTTTTTTTCATCTCGCTTTCAACGGGTCTTTCAACATTATGGCGAAATAATTTGCATGGTCCCCTCCCTCTTCCGTTATAATGGAGTTTCATTAAACTATTCTTTCCTGCCATAATGGTGAGCAGTGGCGTAGCGTGGTTGGCATGGGCCCTGGTGAAAGGAATGAAACGGATCCCTCTGTACAATTTCTTACTATTGAGTCATATTTTTTTGTCAGATTTTCTCCAGCAGCATATAATTCGTCGTCGGTAGTTGAAGTTAGTGTAGAAATGTGAATGGCATTGAAATCGGTCACCACTTCATTTAATCCTACGAAGCATGTGTCGCTGTAGAATTCCTTTGATTCCTTTTCAGCTCCCGACACACCTCGTCATGTCTAGGGGCTCCCAGCCTCCCCCCCCCTCTTCGTAGCTCGACGCCTGGGCCCCTCCGCCCCGGTGCAGTCGCACCCCCTGCACACTCGATAGCTACGCCACTGATGGTGAGAGGTACACAATCATGAAATTCGTGTTTGGTTTCTACTATCATATTAGCATACTACTACATTTGACATAATCGTTGTGAGGGTAATAATAAAATATAGCGAAAGAGAGCTTCACAATTTATCTGGTTATGGGATCGGATAGAGTTGACACGACTTTTTTCGTTTGAGTCGTTACTTGCGCTGAGGAGCCTCCGCGGAGGGCTGCGAAGGCACTTATTGTGATGGAGTTTTTTCTTCTTTTTTTGCCGGTGGAGCTACCTTAGCAGTTTCCAACTCTTCCCTTTGAAGCTCGAACCTGTGAAAACGCTCAGAATTTCATTTTCTCATGCAAGTTTTTCCTGGAACCTTGGAGAAACTAAAAATTGTTAATCTCCCTTATATTCGTCGTGTGAGAGACGATTTCCTCTGTTCGGTCATCGCGCAGTCTGACATGTAATGCGGAGGAGGTGCTTTATGTCACCGCCAGTTCGGCCACAAGAGAAAGGGTTTTTCCAATGCTGAGCGAATTTTGAAGGTAGCAAAATCACCCTTCGAAAATGTTGATTCTTCTGCTAAAGAACTCGCGAATAAGTACCTACCTCGTAAATCGAAGTGTCACCCGACTATCAAAAGTTTATTGCTTTATTTATTGTTAAAATATAATATGTGAAGGAAATAATTCTTTCAAATCATTTTTAACGGTAAAGAAAGAGCCATCATGGGTGTTTTTGCGAGTTCAATTCAGTCACAATGATCGTGTGTGTTCGTGATTCTCAGATAATACTAGATCATGGGCTTGCGGGAAAATGAGTGACAGCATGATTCTCCACTTTTGAACGAGGGTGATCATGACTGTGGGATGGACAGACATTCGTTGAAAGAAAATCAGGTTAGAGGAACTGGAGGAAGGTGGCACACAGCCACTCATTTTATTAACAACTTCTCTCCTCATGGCACCTACGAGGCTCAATAGAACCGAAACCAGTGAAAGGCAATGCTCGACTGTACAGACTACATTGATTGCAGGAAACAATCGAGAACAAATCGGTACCATCACCTCAAGACATAAAGGGCATCCAAAGAGTCACTTGACACAAAATATTTAATTCTTCAATATCTTTCTTATTCAAATCTTGACTGCACATAACTCATACCGCTGCAATAGTTATAATGCATGCATGTATGCTTCATTTATTTGTCAATAATGCTGAAATCGCCCACTCCTCTATGAATTGTTGCCTTCATTCCCTCCTAAGATCTTTAGGATTATTTCACCATTTTCATTCAGTTCATAGATGGTGTTTGGTTCAGTGGCATCATAGGATCTGAAGTCAAACTTCTTCCCTCAAACCTACACAAGCCATTTCAGAATGAGACATGAATCCTTTTCTATCCTAAACAAGCCAGGCTTTCTTGCACTATTCCCTCCACATTCAAAATGTTCCTGACTAGCAGAAAACCCAGTATATCAGTTGAACAAAGATAATGGGGGCAGAAGGGGGGACATCATGAAAGTCCATAAAAGCTTTAGCATGGCTTTATATGGAATTGGGGTATGGCAGGCCCATGTCTTATATGAGGTTGGGCAGTATATGCCTACATTTGCCAAGAAAGCCTGCTTTCCTATAGAAGCTCATGTTAAAAGGTCTATATACTTTCATTATGGCATATGTTTCAGCTAATGAGTACATTATCCAAGTGGATGAGAAAGTCTCATTCAACTGTGGTCATGAAGAGTGTAAGAGCTTCATTAAAAACTGAAAACATTTATTATATTTCAGTCGAAGCTTGCCTGCTACGAGGGAGATCCTGGACTTTTCACCTATTGATATATGATTTACTAAGAGGTTAATTGTGTCATTTGGATTTTCTGTCTAATCAGGTTAATTCTCATATAGATGTAAGTGAAAAAAATTACAGGTCTGTAGACATGACATATTTTAGTCAATGCAGCTCATTTCAGAATACTACCTAAACATTTTAAGAAAATACAAAACTCAAACCATCAAGTGACTCTTTGGACATCCTGTACAAGTATTGAACATTTTTTCAACGGTCTCAAGATCTTGCACTTAGCTGCAGGCAAAAATACACTAGAAAAATCTAGAGAAATCTAGAAAAAAGAGCTGCACATGGAAACACATATGGCCTCCATCAAGACTGCCATCATGGTTATCCAGTCATAACACAGACTCTAGATGTCAAAAGTAAAAAAAAAATTCGTGCAGTGGAACTTTTTCATTTGTACTGGAGGCAGATTTTTAGGGAATGGATGGGTGCGGTTTCAACCTCCTCCTGTTGACACAGACATGAAAAGATTGAAACTTGCAGGCCACATCTTTCAAGTAGTGACTACAAGCATTATAGGCATGCACATTTTATCTAAACTTTCAAGAGCTATGTGGGAAATGGGAACATGGAAGAAAGCTAATAGACAGTTTGGATGATATCACCCATGGGAAAGTAAAGCACAACAACAGGCAACTTGCAGAAATTGCACTAAAGGCTCAAATTCAAGGGATGAAATCACATTTTGGGGGGGATATCACCTGCTCATCAACTCTTGATGGGCAAGAAAGGAACAAACAATGCTGCATGCAAATACTCATGCAAGAAAATATCCAAGACATCTGTAATACTTGCCTGAGGCTTTAAAAAAATGCCTCTCCAGCACACTTGAACACTTCAAAATTCACAGACAGATTATTGGGTAAATTCGTGTACATATGTACATACTTGATATATTAGAAATAAATGAATTCTCAAGAGAAAAATAAAACCTATCTAAGAATAGAATCAGGTATCACACTTCTGAGGGTATCCTCTTGCAGCAGGTAATGGAAAGGCAAAATGAAGGAGAAAGCCCAAAGCGAAAACATAGGAATGGACCTGTCTGAACAAGGACGGAACGTGCAGGCCTCGTATTTCTCCGTGACGGTAACTGGATATGTGATGACTGAGTGATTGTCTTGCATGTTTGACAAGGCATTGTAACTAGACGGTGGAGTTTCAAAAAAGGCATTCCAGGACTTAGCAGAAAGTGGAGGAAGGATGGTGGGGTTCCTTGCGAGGTGACACAGGAATGTGGAACCGTCCATCAGGAGACGACCAGACATAGGACCATGCATTAGGGTCACCTCGTCCAGCCATCATTTTTGGGTTCACTGGAGGTGGCAGAGACCATGGACCAGGTGGACTCCAATGGTGAACTGAGGAAGTTGGACTTGCTGGAGGAGCCCACTGTTGCCATGCTCCTACGCTCTGAACCATTCCCATGAGACGCTGGTTCTCAGTGAAAAGGTCTCGCACCATGTGATCTAATTCTGCCAGCTGTGTTTGCTGCTCCAACAGATCAGAGAAAGAGTGATTGGGTTGAGGAAAGATAGAGGCCAACTAAGTAAAAAAAAAAAACATTTAAAGTTCACCTGTGATGTGAAGCGGGAGACCTGATCATGAAGTTTGTTTCTTGTTGACACCAGGGCAGTGTGGAGGTCTCTCACTTCTGCATTATGATGGGCTGTCACCTCTGCAACAAAAATTGCAAGTGAAATATTTTTCTTCTCCTCCTGGGATAGCCTATTATGTTTGCAATACACAAAATGAAAGAATACAGACCATTGAGGATCTGGGAGGACTGTTCCTGATGTCGAAGGAGAGTGGTTTCAAGTTGTCGGCAATGTCCTTCCTGTTGCTGGAGCTTCATCCTCAGCATGTTAACTAGCACTGGGTCAGGACGACTCTCTTCATACTCCTAGAACCAAGAAATGGATTTAAAGCTTCTAAGTACATTTAAAATCCAGAACTTGATTTTCAATGAATCATATAAAACTCCAAATCAAAGGTAAACAAGGACTCAAGTTTCTAAAAGAAAAATTCAGATTGTCTGTATGACTCCATGGATAATGCAACAACAGGTATCATCTAGAACTGAGACAGGATGAAAATATAGGCATAATACTGAGATAAATAAAACATACTTTAGAGGGAGAGCTGGGTTCAGAAGCACGGGACAAGGGCCTTGGCCTGCCTGGAGATGTTGGCCAACTTGTCCCCGATCCTCTTCCTCCATGGTGAGTTTCTACATTGAGTAAAAATTGAATTCAAGAGATGAAAGAAATCCAATTGAGTTGGTCTACAAAGAAGAAAAAGAGAACGAACTTCTCTTGGAGTCTAGCTGCACGAGGCCATGGAGATCACAAAGCTGTCTTTCCATGATGGCCATGGTCTTCCGAGTCCTTTGTCGCTCTTTCTCCATCTCCTGGATCTGGTCCAGCAACTCCTGACTCTTTCTTTCTAGGTCTGCTGCATCAGTCTCAAGAGCAGCCATCTTTGTCTTGGTCTCCCGTAAGCCAGATTCCAAGGTTAGGGATTTCTCCCTCTCTTGATCCATCTGCTGCTGACACACCTGGATCTCTCTTTCAAGGGATGCCCGCATCTCTCTCACACGAAGTTCATATTCTTTTTCAGCTGATTGCAGAGACTCCCGGGCCTGCTGAATCTGAATCCTCATCTCTGCCTCTTGCTGCTTCCATGCCTCTTGAATTGATGCAAGTCCTTTCTTCAGGCTGTCACGTTCTTCCCGAAGGCGATCTGCTTCTTCTTGAAGCTCAGCCATCTCCTCTTCAGCAGCCAGAACCTATAAGGAAATGCAATTGAGAGCCATGAGTAAGAAATAGATTACACATGTCTTCATATATACATCAATTTGCAAAGAAATGAAACAGTACTTGATCTTCAAGAAGAGATTCAGGGATATCTGGGAGACACTTTGCATTGGAATCACTTCCAGATTTCCCACTTCCATCTAGTCCAGCCTCATATTCTGCAATCTTTGTCTGGAATTCTTTGACCAGGCTTCCAAGTTGATCAGAGAGAGCATTGATTTGATCTTCATAATACAAGCGTTCCTCCTCAATCTTATTGCTCCAGTAGTCCTCAGAAGCTTCATATTCACCCTGCAGAAAGTCCAGCTTCTCCTCCAGTTCATGACACCGGGTATCCCACTGTGCCTCAGATATAGGCAAGGGATCAGTTTGCATGGATGCATCTTGTCTTGAGCTCACAGACTCTCTTTCTTCCTGCAACCTCTCCTTGAGCCCCAAGATCTCAGAAGCATAGCGGTCCCTTTCTTGGACCATGCGGAGGATCTCTCCCTTGATTCGGTCCAGTTGCTCTTGCAATCCAGCACAGAGACTCAACAAAGGTTCATCAATGGCTCCATCCCCAGTAGGATTCATCTGGTAAATCAAAGACTCTGGGCTTCTTGGACTCTCATCAAAAGTGCCCTCTTGCAGCCTAGAAAGAGTAATGTGATGCATTACATGAAATCCAAGGTTCAATGAAGTGATTGCACAGGATCATTTCCAGGAAGAGCTGACCTCTGTTCAAGCTTCTTGCACCACCTCTCAAGCATAGTGCGCATGCATCGCTCCTGAGACTCCCTCTGACGCACTGATTCCAATTCATTCAGAGCAGCCTTGAATCTCTCCTCAAGATCTGTATTTTCTGAGCTTGAGACTTTCTCCCTCTTGCGTCCCAGCACTTCTTCCCAGCCCCGATCCCCAAACAGTTCCTTCAGTAAGTGCTCAGGCATCTTTTGAACAACCTAAAATGAAGACACATATTGGTGAGACCTTTGATATCAAGATGAACATGGGAATGCTCAATTTATGGAATCCTCACAGCTTGCAGACGTGCTCGGTCAATGAGTAAAGAATCACATTGTCCCTCAGGATCCTTCCTTTCTTCAAGGTGGGAGACAGTATATGACTGAGGAGGTAACTTCTTGGGTTTCTGCAAAAAAAAAAAGAGGGCATTTATCTTACTTGCTTTTTCATCAAGTCTACCTTCAGAAACATGACAAATATCTTCAAAATATCTACCTGGCAAATATCTTCAAGAGATGCCTGAAGGAGTTTCTCGGCAGTGGAATGAAGACTTCCCTCTGTCTGAGTAGCCTGGGTTTCAGTGAGTTTAGGAGGGTCTTGCTTGCAAGTACACATCCTTGGACTGTCTATACTAGAGGCCTGACAATAGAGTGATGTGATTGTGAATCAAATGGCAGGAGTAGTGCCAAGTAGTATAGGGTGGGCCAAAAATATATTAGGCTATCTTTAATGCTTCACAGCACAGTTTCTCCAGAGTTTGAAACTATTGCAGTAGCATCTCTGTATAGAACATTTATCTAGCTTTCCACTGCTGTCAAAAGATGTAATATTCATTCTGTCATTCCAAAACAATTATGCACAAAGAAACAGAGGTAGTGCTTGAAAAGTCCAGATACCCTGCAAGATGCCAGGTGATGTCCATTCCTTCACTTGCACATTTGCAATCTTACTAAGGTGTTGTTCACATTTCCAGCACCCCTTCCTATAATCTTTATCTAACTGCATGAAGTTATGCCACAAATATTTATTCTGTTGAAATCATTGGAAGGCTGAATGAATGTTCTACATGGCGGCACTATTGCAATTTTGGGAAACTCAAGGGGACCAGTGCTGTGGAGTGATAAAGATATCTGAGGCTTTTCTTGGCCCACTCAAGTCTTGATCAAGTCACTAGGAGTATCAAATACATGTGCTGACTTCGAATAACATACCTGTAGTGTAGGAGGTAGGAAGATGGCAACATCATCAGTGCTGAGATCCTCATCTGAAGACAAGCTGAGTTGTGGCATTTCCATTGATACTGAAGGAAAACAGAATGAAATCCTTTAGATGCTAATTCTCTCATAGCAACCATGAATTCTGCAGGACAGGAGAAAGGCTTACATTCTTTTTCAAGGGGTTCAGATGCAGTTGGAAGGGAAGATGCCCACTTGGGGTATTTGCCAACTCTTGGACTTTCGTCTTCACTGGGAATGTCCTCTTCTCCGATGCACGCACCAGCAGTGCTTCGCTTCACACCTGAACAGCTTCCTGATGACATTCCTGGCATAGGACTGCTCCACCGCCTGTTTACATCAACAAAGGCATTAAAAAAATTGGCATAGGCAAGCACTCGTGCCAAGAGAAGTTTTTTTTACCTCATCAGTCAAAGCTTCACACAAGGTAAAAACAATATCTAGAGAAAGAAGTACTAGCAGTCCTTAAGAAAAAATGATGAATCAGAGAAATCATCAAGGAGAAAAAAAACCTGGCAGCAGAAGTTCTACTCCTCAGAGCCTCAATGACAGAAGTCAATTCATCATTTCGATCCAAGAGGCGCTTGTTCTCAGCTGCCAGCTGAGCCAGTTGAACATGGAGTTCGTCCAGATGAGATTCCTGCATTACATCTTGGGATCTCTCCAACTCTGAGATCTACAAAAAAAAAGTAAGAGGTTTCACAGATCTTGAAGGAACCCCTTGATCACATGTGCAGGAGAAGCATACCTTCTCTCTCAGTCGAGAGACCTCTTGGAGTTCCCTCTTATGCTGAGTGGCTAGTCGCTGAAGCTCTTCTAGTTGTTCCTCCAGCTCCTTGTTCTCCACCTCGAGTCTCTTCACCTCAGCATGAGAGTTGTGAAGCAGGGAGTGAAGCCGCTGCTCCTCAGCCCGGTGTCTCTTGTGGTCAGCCTCATCTTCAAGATCCCCATTTTCTGCTTCTTGCCTCAACTGTCTCTTCAACTCCCGCACTTCTTCTTGGAACTTCTGCTCGATGCTCCTGTGCCAAAAACCAAGAAGTATGATTTCAACAACCCATAAAAACAAGAAGGGACCTCACATCCAATGAATCCCATGCCTGAGCTGCTGCCTCGAAATCTTCTCCATCTTGGCATTGTGCTCATCTACTTCCTGGGCAAGTAGACAGGCCCTCTCATTTGCCTCTGACAGGTCACTACGAAGCTTGTTCTTTTCGCCTTGCATCACACATAACACCCTCCTAAAAAAAAAACCCAGACAGAATGTGCCCCATGTGAAAGTCTTTCTTCCTTGGATGGCATCCAGAGCTTGAAGAGAAAAAAAAAGGACATGTCAAGCATAGGGCACCGACCTGAGATGACGGACTTCCTGCCTGTAGGAGACCAAGATGGCAACGACGGGAAGGTGCTTGATAGTGTTTTGAAGAGACCTGACTTCCTCCTCAAGCATTTCAGTGAGGTCGAGGAGTTTCACTGAGCCTGGGATGGGAAATCCCAAGTCAGTAAGGAGACACTGGCTTCCCATCACTCCCTGTGATTCCCAAAACTCCACTAGCACTTGACTCGGTATCACCCTGCATAAGGGAAAAAATTCACGTCAGAGATATTGGATATTTCGACGCTGTCTTTAACACGTTGGCGACAATGCGTCCTGATGCCAGGATGCAATTTTTTGCCACGTGGGATAATGCGTCCTGATGGCAGGATGCAGGTTCCAAAATACGTCAAGTGCTAGTGGAGTTTTGGGAATCACAGGGAGTGATGGGAAGCCAGTGTCTCCTTACTGACTTGGGATTTCCCATCCCAGGCTCAGTGAAACTCCTCGACCTCACTGAAATGCTTGAGGAGGAAGTCAGGTCTCTTCAAAACACTANCCTGATGGCAGGACGCAGTTTTTGACAAAAAAAATGCGCGTGGTCCCACGCGGCGGACAAGCAAAAATAGGCTGGTCGTCAACGTGTTAAGTAGCTGGAGAGAGGACCATGTCCCACAAGAGAGGAGAATAGCCGGGCGGTCGAGTTTTTAACCAGCCACGTATGCTATTCGACCCTCATCTTAACACACTTGTTATTCTCACTTCAGCATTTCTTGTCGCTTTCCATTTGAACATTACCAAACACTTAATTCCTCACAGTTCTAAAGAATGTATGGTACAACGTTCATCAAAACGGGTGAGGTTATCTTTCCAGCTTTTGCATAGTTGAAGTGCGGGAAGAAAAAGATCTTTCATTAGCGCTTGAGGTGATAATCTCGCGCTACTGCAACAAACGGTGCATCTTGGACGAAATGAACCAACTGCTGCAATGGTTGAGCATGGAACATGGCTCATTAGGATATTACATTACAGTATAGAACATGATAGGCATCTGGCAGAAAATACACCCTATCCTCGGGAAGCCAGAACGTACTGTCAAACCACATTGAGGAGAAACAGGCCATGTCCGTCTCAATAACTGGAATCCTGGTAGTATGGTATAGATTCCGCTTAACGATAATCCGCTTCAAGTTCTGCATGCATCATTACGCCACCAGGGAATTTCAAAGGCTTTTATTTTCGGGTAAACGAGAAAACGTTCTTTTCCAAAAACAACAGTGGCGTAATCTGCGATTTGGACGTTAGCAAAGGCATACAATTCGGGTGAATTAGGAGGGAAAGAATTCCTGAATGGTCATCATGGCAAAGCAAGTTCTTTTCTTCTCTCTCTCGCCATGTACACATCACCCTCCAATAATTAAAAAGTAAGCGCTCGAGAACAACAGATGGGGAGGCATGACCTTCGCCCGTTCTTAGTCAATGTGCTTCCCTTTAGAGTCCGAAGTTCTTTCTCCCCTTATACAGCCTGCACACGCCTCCCTCCTCAAACGCACGCCCTTGTTTCCCAGTGGCAACGGCCAGGTGTAGCATTTGGACAACCGTAGTTGCGGATGAGAGAGGGATCGACTCAGAACGGTTAAATTTTCATTATTAGGGTCGGGGAGCTCCGCTCCCCCCTCCATCACGCATCCGCCATCCTTCATCCACTCGGTGCATGACATGGCATGATGCACTGCACCTGTGTGTGTATGCATCCAGAGTTCCCTGGAGCGTGCGTTCGGTGTGGAAACAGTTCGTGTTATCTCCCCCCATTTCAATTCTCCGATGATAGCATCATGCGGTTAAGTCTCTTATCAAGGAGATGCATACTGTCTCATTTCACGGACACCAAAAGTCCATTAGAAACGGTACCACTCGGAACACAAGCACTCACATTTCCAGTTCCTCACTGGAAGTGAAAGTTTTCGTGGTCTATGTTTCTGTGGGGAAAGAGAAAGGCGTAGCTGGCTCTTCCCCCTTTATTTTTTCCCACATTCGCTTCTCCCTTATTAAAATTCGCGATTCCGTCATGCGTGAGAATCCTAGAAAGGCGGTTATTGCAAGTCTTTGCAGATTCAAGACATACGTGATATCTGCATCGCTTTGAAGTGAACTGCTCTGTTTTCTCGCCCTTATCAGAAAGTATGGATGCGAGACTTGAAGTCAGTGGATGATAAGGAAGAATTCGAAGAAAGATGAGACCTTGACACTCCCGAGTGCTACGATGTGAACAACGAAAAGGGGGGGATGGCTTTGACACTGGACCCAAGGAAACTGGAGGGGGTGTCCAGTAACCATGCAAGCCACTCCAACAGGATACACCCGGCAGTGGAAGAGGAAGAAGGGAATGGGTCCCTAGGACGACGGGTTCTCTACGACCCCATCCAGAAAGTAGCAACCGTCGTTAACTCCGCTCTGGATGAAGTTGCGCACACAATCAACCAAAGCTTCGAACCGGTAGGGTAATGTCACATCTCTTTCTCAGTCAGCCATCTGACACGCTGGCAAAGATCTGGGTGGCATATGAAGTAGCGGCGATAACAGCGTTTACTGAAGTTGGTTATTGTGAATGGTCACCTGCTAGCCTTGCAAGGAACACGATTACGAACCTCCGGCAAAAATGTCACTAAAGAGTGGAAATCTTGCAGGTGAAACAAAAAGGCGAAGAAGCGATCAGTTACGCGGAGAAATTCCTGAATTCGACCAACTATGAGGTGACGTTCACGAAGACAGACTTCTTCTGGACGTGCATTTCGATTGCATCCTTTCTTTTTGACATGGGATCCGACATTTCCACTGCCTGCTTTCTTTATTGGGATCACGACACGAAGTGGTGGTTCAGTCTCACCGTCGCCTTCATCGTAGTCCCAAACGTCTTCATCAACTGCTTCTCACTCTACTGGTAGTCATCTATGCCTTTCTCTTATCGTTCGTTTCTCTCGCAACTGACTTTTTTTCGAGGGCATACTTTATAAGAGAATGCCTTTTATTGCCTCATATGAGCAACAACTTGATTTTTTTACATTTATGATTGAAAATGAGAACGTATTAATCAATAGTTCTGATCCTGTCTTGAATATGCTATATGCACCACTCTCCAGTGCTCCTCTCTGATTATTCTACAACAAATTTCAACTGAACGAAGGTCCACTGTTCAATTCACTTGCCTAATGGTCCATGTATTTTTTTTCCTTTTCCCACAGGTTTTGGAATGACAGCCAAGGGGATCCCGAAGTCTCGACAGCACGCAATTTCAACATTAAAAAACGCGTTTTCTCGAAGACATACTGGATTTTGAGAGTCTGTTTACACTGTATCTTCTTCGGACCAGTTGTTAGGTCAGTTCAAATTTCACCATTTTTCGTCATCAATATAATCTGCAAGCCTTTCATGTCCACCTAATTATTAGGTACATAGACATCCTGTATTATGGGGCAAAGTGGCAAACCCAGAGCAAGTCCCAAACCCACAACAACCCAATACATGGGCCCTACTGCGAAGACAAACACAAAAAGAACAAAGATGTTGACTACAGTTATCTGCTCGTGAAGGAACAGAGAGATTCGGCGATGCTGGATTTCATTCACAGCATGATCCAGGATGCCCCGCAACTCATTCTCCAAGTGTACATCCTGGCCTATCGTCCCACGTTGCAGGTCAAGCCAGCTAACCCAACTCCTCGCATCAGCGACATTCATGTCTCCACAGGTGTTTCAGCTCATTAGAAACAACCTTGAAGTTTGACGTAATTTATGAAATAATATTTATTAATTTTTGAATTTGCTTATTTTTTGTGATAATTGTAGCTCTGGTGCAAGCCATATCAGCAGTTTTCTCCCTGATCTCAATGTCATGGAGTGTGACATCATACATAGCAGCTCTTCGTGTGTATTGCACTGACAAGCCCAATATGAGCATGGGAGCCATGATACTCATGTTCCTGTGGAGAACGTTCACAATAGCTGCCAGAATCATCGTGTTTGCATTGTTTGCCACAGTCCACAGTGCAATTCTGCTGTATGCAGCACTTGGCCACTGGGTTCTTATGGTTTTTTGGATCTTCCTCCAGGTGAGTCTGAACTACCAGGTTCTCCCAAAGCGATCTCATTTCAATCCTTGTGCATACAAATATTTAATTTCGTTGCTTTTTCCTCTTTCAGAAAACGCAGTTCTGTAATGAACATAGTGAGAGGTCTATAAAAGAGTTCCTCTACAACATGGTGGTGGGTGGGATTTACATCTTCACTTTTCTGAATGTGAAAGAAACTCCATCAAGGTACAAGATGACCCTGTATTATATGATCCAGCTGGCTGAGGATGTAGCCCTGGGTGTGTTGTGGTTCATAGATAAGGAAACCCAGGCATTGACGCTATGGTACCACATTCCAGCCCTCCCAGCCATTTATGGATCTTTCTTTCTTGGTATCTTTTTCATGTGCTTATATTATAAATTTGCCCACCCAACCAAAGGGAGAGATGTCTTAAACTCTGAAGAGTCTAAGGCATCTTTCCTGAACTGAACTTCTGCCATCGGCAATCATTTTTCCTCTTTCCAGTGCAAACATTTTGAAAGAAATATTGTGAATTATAAATTATAAGGCTGTACTGATGCATGGGCAACCGATGGATCAGCTATTGATATGACATCATCTGCACCATCAGTCAAAGTTTTCATTTTACACTTTCCTGATGCTAATATCCACCCATATCCCCCCCCCCCCCCCCAAAAAAAATAGTAACACATGCATGTGAAGATATGACCCACCACCAAACTCCCTTGTCTCTTTTCTAGGAAGAGAAACAAATGAAATACGTCTCTTATATGTACAAATTGAGATAGAACAAAGCATGATAAACTCTCTCTCTACTACTGAAGACTGGAGACCGTCATCCTTGCAACTAAAGTCTATCATTGCAAATGCTAATGCAGACATCAGCACTGAATTTAACACCAGCATCAGGCATGCCATTGTTCATATATTTTCCCAGAATACTTAGGGCTTGGATGGAGGATTTATTCCTTCTAAAGATAACAAGATTCTTACCTCCCTTCAGTGAAAAAATCATACATTTACAATCAAGTGATTCAGCCATTCTTTGTTTCAGGGCTGTTTCAGGGCATCCCATCACAAGTTTCTTTTCCAATAAAACTCACATGTGCTCCCAGCCTCTCTCTGTTCAATAAATGGTACAGAAATGCTGTGCCATGGGTTGCTTATAAAGTGATTTAAAAAAAAAGTTTATTACAGTGCAGAATATTGGATAATAATTTGTTGGCTTTATCTTACCTCTATTTGCCACAGCTGGAATTAGCCAATTAGCCCAACTTATAAGGAATTCACAACCATTGACCCTTAAAAATCTCAATGTAGAATCAGGGTGACCTCAAGAATAACTAGTTTAACCCTACAATGCATGATTTTTTAAATGTACCAAAAAATGTTTGATCATATTTTTTATGATGGAAAAATTATCCTTTCATTTTTGGCTTTTCCATTGTATTGTAATGCATTTCAATGCAATGCAGAGCATGCCATATCTGGCACACCATGTAGTGTAAGTGGGTTAAGTGGGTACAGGGTGTCTCAAAAAAATGTATACACACATTAATATATAAAAAATACATGTTACATAATTCAGAGGGACAATGCTTAGTGTGACAAGTACCTAGCAGATGATGCTACTGTGTAATGAAACGATCATGTGTCGTCAGGCAACTGTTACCCATGAGGCAGTGTGTAACGAAAGATGGCACAAGCTTGCTTGACATCAGAGCAACGTAAGTTGATTTTGGAGTTAAACTGGGAACTGGGAACTGAGAACATGTTTGAGGTGCAAAGAAGGTGAAGTGAACTTGTAACTGAGCCACCAACATAACTAACAATTTTGAGAATTCATGATAAGTCTGATGCTGATGGTACAGTGCAAGACATGCACAAACAACGATCTGAGAGACCTTGCACATCTACAGGTGAGGACAATGCTATTGTTGTAATGCAAGCATTCCTAAGTCCTGCACTGCTATCCCAGCAGAAACCCTGTTTCTATTGTCCTATATTATTGAATCAGCCACAATTAAAATCTTGACATTTTGTGGCAAAATACATTGGAGTGATACAGACCCCCTGGGTAGAATTTGTGAAATTTTTTTCACAATAAGCTTAAAAGGTCAACATTCCCAAGCTACAGCATTAAAATTGCTTCATTAGCATTAACCACTTACCAGTTTTTCTTGCAATGAATTTTTTGAAAAAATGTTAATCATTCAACTCATGTCATGTAGCGGACAAAGTTAAAAATACAAATAGCCATAAGCTTAGTCAAATAATAGGGGCAAATCAAGAATGAAACACAAGTTGCCCATGTCTCATGCAGGCAAGTTAGTTTTGGGAAGGACAACATAACCCACATCAGAGATGGGCAAATCACAGAAGTGGTTAAAACAGCATTAAAATCTGCTTTCAATCCAAACAGAAACACAAGACTTGAGAACATGTAGAACAACAGCCAAAGCCATTACTAGGTTATAATACAATCTGGTCTACATAGAAGCAGGGCTATCATTTAGAAAGAATACAATATATTCAAACAATACATTCAAGAGAAACTCCATAACACTACTGCAGGATCAATGAAATCATAATTTTGTGAGTTGAAGGGTTATTGATTATCTCCTGACTTGATAAAACCATGGCAAATTTGCTACACCTATAAGGAACACTAAGGTTTCATTCATCACAGCTTGTCAGCTTTACTTCGCTGAGAAATTCTTTTAATTTCAAATCCACTTTCACCTACAGACTGCATAAAGGTGAGAAGTTCCACCATGAAAACTTAAGTTTCTGCCATCATGCTTACTCATCAAACAAAAGCAAATAACTTAAATGTGTCAATCTCAGGATGGCATTTAACATGCCTTACTCTATACCAGCTAAGCATCATAATATTTAAAAAAAATACTCACCCTCTTCCTTGTGGGTCAAGCATAGTAAAGACTCCACTTGGAGCCAACTCATGGAGAGATGATACAGCTTCATTCTGATTTGATTCAAATGGATACACAGTGTGCTCAGTCCCACTCTGCCCATCATCAACCTCAGATTGGGAGTAACAAAGAAAAATTAATTGCAGGAAAGTGAAGAAGGTGAACCTACAAGTCAATACTACATGACAGAGTCAAGTAAGCAACAAAATCATACAAACTTTACATCGAAGAACTTGAGTCTTACCATTTGGACAATAGGTGCATCCTGACTTGAACTGTCTAATGCTGCTCTCATGCTCTCAAAGAGATTCACAAATTCCATGAAACTTATGTGTCCATCCTGGTCAACATCCAAGCCTTGGAATAGTTGTTCTATTTCCTGAAGAGCAAGAGGAAGTTAGGGAAAACACAATGAATGATAAAGTGATTCAAGAGTTCCTATATCCTTCATCTTTCTTGCAAAGATTAAAGGATGCAATCTCTTATCACCAGACTTACATCATCAGAAATGTCCATTCCAATTTTCTGGCACACCCCCATGAGTTGGGGCTGGTCCAGATAACCTTCAGGGTCGAGTCCAAGAGACTCCCATATCTTCTTCAGGTTTTCCTTTGCATCACACTCTGTTTCTTGTTCACTGGTGTTAGGATCTGTAGAGATGACAACTCAGTTGAATCAATATGTCCACAATTACATTTTTGCACACCTTTCAGAAGACTTAATCACCTATAGTCCTTCCCATGTATAGGTGTTGGAGTCAACAGAGATGATATTATCTCAACTAAAACAAACTTACAGGTCTTACTACATTTAGCAGGCCTATTCTATCTGTACCAATTCATAGAAAATTTAGGGCAGGCTTAGGCAAAGGCCAATACACAAAGCCTGACACTGACTTATAATTAATGCAGGTCTATTGGGACTTACAAAGAACTTCATTATGGATAATTTATTTCTATGGTACATTGATGCAGAACAGATATTATTTTTGCAAAGATAAAATATTGAGCACATGTTAAAGGAAGCATAGAGATACTTATATAACCATGTAATATAAACTTTGTCATTCAAAAGATGCATCATGATTCCCTTACCACATGGGGAGTCCAAATCTGGGCTGTAGCATTGGTTCGCTGGTTCACAAGGAATTGGTGAGTTTAGGTTTTCACTCATGGCCTTACAAATCTTCATGGACTTTCAAAATGAATAAACTTGCTTCTTAGTTGCATGGTTCTGACTATATTTCCACATGAAAGTCATCACATCACATGGATCTCTTCCCAACTCTGGTTTCACCTTGCTTCACAGCAGCATATCAGGTACCTGAGTTTCATGTTTCAGGTAGGCCTGGGCTTCCATGAAGCCAAAAGGCTCCTTTGGTGTTTCATCACAAACATTCTCCATCATTCAATTAGTCACTGGATTCAGTTAAGCCTAGAAGAATAAATCAATATTCATTTAGTTTGACTTGGGTTGAGAAAACTCAGCCAATATTAGCAAGAGAAATCATGCTGAACACCATGCCCAAGTTAGCATTGGCTTATTATAAGGCTCGGACTCAAGAAAGCCAATAAGATCATGCTAATCTGCCTTTCAGCTACACCAACTACCATAGCTGTAGCTTGAAGGAAAAAGTGAAGGGACACAGGAAAACTTGTTGGAAACCTACCAAAATGACCAAGTTTGGGTGGGATTATTTAATAGTCGCCAAGCATAAACAAGGATATGATGGAATATGGTGCCGAAAGACCTGGCAGTAATCATAAGAGCTTGCCGCTGACAAGGCCCAGAAGTCAATACGGCTGCGATAAAGGATTGGATTTGGTGCCTACCATTCCCATAGTTCCCAAACAGAGAAAAGAACCCAAATGAGGTAAGAATGAGGCCTGCAGAAGTGTTTGGCAACGTCCTCACGTTCCTTCCTTCATTTGGCCTTTTATACAAAACGGGAGGAAGGATTTGGTGGCGTCGGGATGCGGGGGCAGAGGAGGCTCTCCCCAACTATCAAATTCACCTGAGCAATATTCTCATAAGACCTTCTAGTCGATCGAAGGTCGCTTGAGTTAACCAAACGGGCGGACGATGATAAACGTCAGATGCAAATCCATCACATCTCAGAAAAAAGTTAGGCCGATCCAGGGAAAGTAGCAGGCGGCCATGTTGTATTAGCACCAAATGCCATCTGTTGAGGGAATGGGAGACTGAGCAGACGAATGGAATCCAGCTTTGACCATTGGCCACTTCAGCTGATGCCCTGCCCCACTTCACGGTCCACATAGCACAGCTGTGGTTATATCCGCATTACGGAAAAGGTGAATGACCACGTCATCTAACTACCTGGTACCAACGTCACAAAATTCCAAGCTGTGGATATCAGCTAATTTGACAGATCGAAGGAGAATGCCCAAAACCATAGGACAAGGTTCATACTCCCACTGACCGACTTCATACGTATCATTAAATTGATTTCGAATAGGAAAACGAACATTTGCATGGCCCAGACTCATTTGGTGCCAGTGTTAGCGGTAAAAAATCATATTGACATGATGGGACCGGAAAGATACCCCAGAAAAAGTAGGTCAAAGTGGGGTACCACTGCACCCAACTCGAAGAGATTTATTTTAAAATATTGAAGAAGTAACTGTTAAATTGGCAAGATTTTCTCTTTATTGACCGCCTTTGAGCACACGGGAAGCATCCCTTGGAGTAACTCTGGAATCGACAGAACCGAGTACGAGTAAGTCCCAATCCAGAATTCGAAGCTTGGACTAGGGCATCTCCCTTAGCAGAATTTCCCTGAAAGAAGTAACAAGGTGGTGATCCGCTTATTGGTTCCTCAACCACCAGGCTCCTACGAGCTCTCAGCTTGCTCATCCTAACCTTAAAAAATAAATGTGGAAAAAAGGATGCGACAAAAAGTGAAAGGGGGTCGAACAACTGAGACCACAGCATTAACCTCTATACCCTCTGGTGGTATTCCAATTGAATTTATTTGATCTAGGAGTGCCCTCACGAGTATTTTAATAATTCAGTAATCAATTAAGCACCAATGACAAATCTCATAGCGATTTTGACAAGTTAATCGCATTTTAATAGAACTTCAAACCCTTTATTGAATGCGTGCTTCATTGTATTGTTCTCATTTTTTTCAGGAAAGTAAAAAGCTAATTATTATTTTTTTATTGGAATCTGATGAGATGACGTAAAAGGCAGTCGTTCTTGAGTGGCTCACTCATCCGCAAATAAATATGTGGTCATTCGCTTGAGAAGAAGGGCAATGCTCTCCAGATGATGTAAAAAGTAGCAAGGGCCTCGTGGAAAGACAGAAAAGAAAGTCTTTTCACCCGAGTGGTTAGTGCTGCCCTGCACAGTTGCAACACGTGCGGGGCGAATCGAATGGATTTGAAAAGACGTCGGACGTGATGGTGGGGAACGGTGGGGAAGACGTTCGTTCTCTCTGCTTGCCACGGACATCCGGACCCCACGCAGCGGGTTGGAACACGGAAATGGGAAAAGGGGATCGAAGTAAAATATTTTCATTCCAGAACGAGACCTTTCGCTCTCCGCCTGGGTCTGATTCATCTTTTCCACCGGGATCGGCGGCCGAGTGGTTCGGGCCTCCGAGTTCGATCCGGAAGGTGGGGGATGGAATCCGGATGGCGGCGGACTCTTTCCTCCCCGACGGGCGACCCACCTGCTTACCTCATTTCGAGCGTCGTGTCTCCTTAGCGTGGGGTAACACACACGCCACTCTGGGTCACACGGCACTCTGTGTGCCACGTCTAGGAGATGCGGGTACAGTGCACTTAAAACAAAAATGCCACTTGTGCCAGTCATGGGCCTAGGAAACCCGTAAGCTGCCCCTAAGGCCTCCTACAGGACCTAGGAGGAACGTCCCTGCCCGAGGGATTCAGCTCTTGCTTCGAGTACTTGTGCTAAACGGACTCCTCTTCCATTCTGTGTATCGCAATACGTCCGTTATCACACGCGTCCGCCAAATGCCTTTTCCTTTTTTCGTGTGAATAAATAAGATTTGTTTGGATTTTTTATTCATGAAAACTTTTCCCTAGGTCCTCTCTGTTTTTACTAAGGCTGTCACGATAGCAGTTTTCAAAACATCGATGCATCGACCGAAACTATCGATAGTGTATCGATGCATCGGGGGGGGGGAAGTGCGCC